ATTGTGCACTTTTTTGGGGTTTAAAAATTCAGGGAAGCAAAAAAAAATCCCTTTCTAAAGCAGAATGAAAGAGTGGATGAATTAGAAAACATGAAAAGCAGGCAATAAGAGATATTGATTGAGTTTTGAGTAAGTCCCAATGAAGGACATACAAACACTCGTGATAGGAGCAAAAGCCCACTTTCTCTTCAGCGGGCTGTGGCTCACACTAATGCTGTTTGTCTTTCAGATGCCATAGTGGGTGAGGCCTGTAGTGTGCTCAAAGCGCTTGTGACAACTTTCCATTCACTGGTGGATTTTGAACTCACAATGGAATGTCCATTTGCACATTGATTTTGTGCAATGAACATTCAAGCATCTTTATGTTCAATAATCAATATGGATTTACTGCTGTTTACTGTGAGCTGTGTTTGCTGTGTAGATATAGAGATAGCAAAACGCTTTATTGAGCCTGACAGCACAGTTACATTAGAGCTTGTGTTATCGCTTCCTCACAGAGAAGACTGAGTATTAGTTGACAGATCCCTGGAGAGCTGTCTTTTCAGGTAATTACTCAATTATCAACAAACAGTGTCACAGGAGACACAATGGCATTGAGGAGATCACACAAACCGGTGAATGATTTGCTTCAGCAGAACAACAACAAGTATTCACACAGACGTGAGTGCGATGAAGAAAGAGACAAATGTGTTGCACCTGTGAGCCAAGCACTGCACATTGACAAGCTGCTATTTCCATGGTTTTACAACTCATACTCTTACAAATACATGACTAAAACAAACTGGAAAAATAGCAAGAAGAAATATTCTAAAATATCAAACTGTGTTACTTTTCATTGGTATTTTGTGTTACAGGCATTACCTTTGAGCACCACTAGTGGGAGCCAGTCGTCACATGTTGTATGAAAGTGCTTGTTTGAGAACTGTGATTTTGTTTTCACTACATTGGGCAACATGACCTTTTTAAAATATATAGCGAGATAGATGTAATAAATAATAAAAAATATACATACATTATTATCAGAAGAATTTGTATAAAGCTGTTTAAAGACTTTAATTTCACAGTCAAAATTATTGAAGTTGCTAAATACTTCCCAAAGTAATCTCTGGTTTGGCAATACTTTTTAATTAATTTAATTACAATTCCTGGTTGTAAATGAAAGCATCACCAGAGGGATAGCCAAAACTCCTCCAATGTACAGAGAAAATATATTTTATAGTATATTTACATTTCATTTAACTTACAATAATGTACTTTTATTTAGTGGAGTGAATACGTTCAAAGCTGAGTTTCCTAACATTATCTCATAGATAAATTATGTTTTTGTCCCAACCAAAAGGTCTTGTAAGGTTGTGAACAAATAAGACTATATGATGTTGTCATCTTTAATCTTAGAAAACAATTTATTTCACTTTTCTGTCTGAAAAAGCTGATCTAAATCGGTCATATAGTGATATATTTATGCATTTCATGTTTCTTGTAATTACTGGCCAATTTGAATTTCTGTTGAGTTTGTAAATAGAGCTGTTAACAAATAAGTCATTACCAAAAATAGACAATAACAGAAATATTCTAGTTTGATTCCTAGTTGCAGCCCTAGTTTCCAAAACCTTTTCTTCAAGCTGCTTCATCAGTGTAAAACTATAATTTATATCTTTTGAATGCACTTTGGTTACTTATTATTTTAATCCCTTGTGTTACTTTAATGTTTTAGTTTTTTGAATTACTTGCGTGATTTGAATGTTTCTGTTTTTAATGTTCCATGTGATATTAATGTTTGTTTTGAATGCCTTGAGTGATTGTAATGTTTATGATTCATGTGATGATTTATGCTTTATGTGATATGGACTGTGAAGCACTTTGTTTGCATGTGTAGGAAAAGCACTCTACAAATAAAGGTTGATTGTTTGATTAGAGTAAAAACAGGCATCATTGCATCAGGAAAAAAATGCACTTCAAGTCTTGTTAGTTTTATTCTTATTTTAGTTCTTGAGTTATTCAGAGACCACATGCTGAGCCATAGGTAAGTCTGTGGTGTCCTGCTGGTGGCCTCGTAGTGACCACACATGCCCATGGGCTGCACACACCTCACACACTCATACCTCTGCTGTTTAAGTCCCACCGTTTGTCCCTGAGGCTTTAAACCTGGGATGACCTGGCCTGAGGTAACGAGGACTTAAAGAGAGGAAGGTGCGCTTCCACGCATTTACAGCATCAAGCTCATTTTTAAGCTTGACCAGGAAGAACCGCAGCTCTGTGGCTTTCTCTAACAACAACAAACAACTGCACTTGGGCAATTATGCCGCCACAACCCAAGGAGAGCATTAAGTTGACTTGCTTTGTTAAGATGGATACAAACCCTCTTCAATTCTATTTTTATCATATGGCAGCGTCCGATAAAATGAAACCAAACCGGCTACTGAATTTAAAGAGTTAAAACAGACATCTCCGTTTTGAGAGACTGTTTGAGTATGGTACTAAAACAGATCAGGCTTTTCCAAAAACAACTTGGTAAAGAGCAAATTGTAAACCTTTCAAATATCTTTATAACGTCACTTTTCTCTTTTTTTGCAAATGAACTGCATTTGCCAAATTGCACTATACAAATACATTTTGATAAAAAACATTTAAATGCCTTCAGCAGTAATGGGTGTAGGGTCAGAGCATTTGAGCCTATTTCCTGCTTGAGCATGTGCATGCATGTGTTATGTCGTACATGATATTGTGTTGTGTTATTTTTCTACTGTATTGCTTTTGTAATATTTTTGTGTGTGACAATTTTGTTCCATAATGTCTCTTCCAACCCCTTTTTAAAGCTGTGTCTGTTATTTTGTTTTGTAAAATTGTGTGGTACAGGCTTTGAAATGAGCGACTGATTGATAAATAGCACCATGTGTACACACATATAGTACAGCTAATAACAATACCAGTAGTAATTGCTATAGATCTAGAAATACTTTTCTTTTCACAATAGCATTAATATTGATTTAGCAGATAGCATGTATTTACCAGCGTGGGAAAAGCAGTGGCGAGTCTGAGCGTCTATGCAATGTCTATATAATTAATAGTAACATACTGTTGGCATGCTTTTAACTTTACTGTGTCCTCGTTCACCTTGAGAAAGCATATAATTACACCTGACTAAATCGATCAGTGTATTACCTAGAACACGTTTTGGAGATCTAATATTCAAGTACTTTCAAGCCACTCCTCATTCCAACCGACAATCAACAACAACATATTTTTATAAGTCAAAATGTCCTGTGATTTTGATGGTTTTAAAAAGAGTTTGACAATAATTATTATGTGGACTGTGGCGCGCCTTCCAAAACGAGTTGTACCTTTTGGAATGAACCAGACACAATTTTCCCTTGATGCTTCATGAAGATAGCGTGACTGATTAAAGCGAAGAAAGACACTGACTTTTGGCCAACATGGGTCTTAAAATAACTTTAAAAAGGATCACCGGCTGCGATGGTTGCAATGCCTCTCTGCTTACATACTGCATACTCTACTAATACATGCGTCACTATTACCCAAACACTGTCTGAGTCACTCCAGGGATAAAAACACCTACAGAAGAGCCAAAATGACGGAGGTATGGCGATATAATGTAGAGTTTATCATTTCAAACATGTAGTGCAGCCGTTATAATGAACCAAATACAATAGAGTGCCATCCTCACTTTTACAAGATAGATACAGACAACAGAAAGTCAAATAGTGTGAGAAACATATAAGTGTGAGATATTGAGATTAGTGTGTGGCTGTTGTATGTGTTAATACTCAATGCATATTTTTGACAAAACAAAAGCAAAAGGAGGACAGTGAAAGAAACTCTAAAAGTGTGGATTTGTGCAAGCAGTGGTTTAACAAAAACACTCAAAAGCAGATCTCAGAAATATTGGATTTTGTTATTTATTGTGATTTTGGAATATATTTTACTGTCTGGTAAGTAGTGTTGTCATGAGACTACATTTATAACTCGATTTTGAAAGTAAAAAATACTATAATAATAATAATTTTTTTACCACAAAAAATATCTATAAATGTGCTTTTTGGCCAGAAACATTTTGAAGATGTTTTTGTCCAAAAAGAAACATGGACAGAAACATGTTTGTATAAAATAGGTTTTATACAAGGTCTTTTGATATAGTGTAACATGTATAAAGAAAAGATTAATTTGCTCTTGATCATTTTGGACTTTTGACAACCTTTATGGTAAGATTTCCAGTCCAATCATTGTTGTTTTAGTGACATTGATGCATGGACCGTTGCCCAACGCCTAGTTTACATTTTAACATTTACAATACCAAGATCAGGACTAAAAATAATGGATTATAAAAAATTATGTTTACAATCCATTAAACTAGTTTTTATCAATTCCTAAAACACTGCACTAGGGTAAAACAAATTTAGTAAATTCCTCAATGAGTGACAAGCACTGGGCACTCGATAAAAGCTATGAGCTGGCTGAGTGAAAGGTTGGCGGCCTCCTCTCTCTGTTACAACAATCCTGAGCCATGTACCGGAGGGGCCTCATGTTCAGCGGATGGGCTTACACCCTCAACAGGTATGTACCATGCAATTACCAGCCTCGCTCTGTACACGCTCTAATCAGAGGCTGCTGTAGCATTAAGTACGGGGGTGGCCGAGCAAGCAACTTTAAAGAGGGACCCACTAGTGTCAGGTGTCGAGATTTACTTCACCTGACTAATTTTCTGTCTGTACTACAACTGGCTTAAACATGTGGGTGTGTCCAAGCATGGGAGAATGTGTGTAGGTGTGCTCACTGTTTTAAAAATAGGAAAACTGACAAGCAAGATACAAGTTTGCGTAGGGGCAGAGCGTGCGAATCCTCATGCGTGTTGTTTAGGTGTGACACTTGAAGTAGCAAAGTGAGAAAGCTTCAGACATACCAATAAGTTCAAATAGTGTAAAAGATAAAGTACAAGCAGGTAAGATTGAGATAGAATATACCGGAGTTCCTCAGAAAGACCTTCAAGTGCATTCGCGTGCGTGAGCTGCCGTGTCTGCAGGGTGAGGTGGAGGCTGATGCTTTGGCAGCAGGTCTGGCACGTCTGTCAGGCCCAAACCTGCAGCAGAGGAAGAGACTGATAAATAATGTGGGAGTCCTTGGGCCGGTCACAGTCTCCCATGTACAGTAATATGGAGAATAAACAATGACAATTTATGCCGGATAATACTATAAGAAAATTGATTCTAACCAGCAGAATGATACAGCATCATTGGAAATATATATTAGGCATTTATCTTGTTAATGATATGCACATGTATACAGTACAGACCAAAAGTTTGGACACACTTTCTCATTCAATGAGTTTCCTTTCTTTCCATGACTATTGACAGTATATTCACACCCAGGCTGTGTAAGGACTATTTGACCAATAAGGAGAGTGGTGGGTGCTGGGCCAGATGACCTGGCCTCCACAGTCACCGGATCTGAACCCAATCCAGATGGTTTTGGGGTGAGCTGGACCACAGAGTGAAGGCAAAAGGGCCAAAAAGTGCTAAGCATCTCTGGGAACTCCTTCAAGACGATTGGAAGACCATTTCAGGTCACTACCTCTTGAAGCTCATCAAGGGAATGCCAAGAGTGAGTGAAGCAGCAATCAGAGCCAAAGGTGCTCCTTTGAAGAAGAGTATAAGACAATTTTTCAGATGTTTTACACTTTTTTTTAGTATGTACATCATTCCACATGAGCTAATTCATAGTTTTGATGCCTTCAGTGTGAATCTACAATTTTCATTGTCATGAAAATAAAGAAAACTCTTTGAATGAGAAGGCGTGTAAACTTTGGTCTGTACTGTATGTCTATCACTGTCTTATGCCTTAAACCAATGACATAGTATTTAAGGATAGGCAAAATAAGCCTTAGCTTCAGCCTCATTCATTCAGGTTTTGAGAATTTTACACCTGCGTTTTTGCCGTCTAATTTGTTCAAATCAGACTGCTATATAAAAATAATCCTTCATCCTATTAGAACACATATTTTCTGTTGTAGACCGAGCCCTCTTAGTCACTATTTGACTCTTTGGGCTGAGAACTGTTTCGCTAAGTGAGGCTGGTCTCTTTTTTCCCTTATCTGATCTAAGGATGTGACAGAGGTCAAAACTAGTGGTAGAACCAACAAGGTTGGATTATTATTATTTTTTGTGGCTTGAAAGTTAGATCCCAGCTTTAAATGCTGTAATTAACCATGTGAGGTCTAACTAAAAGGACAGTGGATGATCCAGGACACTCAACATTCATCAACATTTATGGACATGTTTTCTGTTCTATTTCTTGTGTTTGAACTGTTTGATTCTATGATCTGTGTTGGCAAATTCAACGGTTGCGTTAAGTCCTCTGAGATGAATACTGTTGTGATTTAGGGCTATACAAGAATTGAGTTGAATTGAATTAATTAACCATTCCAAAGGCATATTTATTCAACCATCTAAGGCGAAAAAGTGACAGTAATATTCAACTATTTTAAAGGAAACAATAAGTGCCACAACAAATCATTACAGCAGACGTTTCTTTAACAATTATAGTCATGATGAGTTAAAGCCCAAACTAAACTCCCACACACTCCATTCTTTCATCTCACAAATGCTTGTGATTCAAGGCTCTGATTAGAGATTTGTAATGAGGATGAGGTTTCAGATTGACTTGTCTTATCGAGATCACAGAAGCAGGTGCAATGTCTTTGCAGCTGCCGCAGCAGTAAGTCAAGCACATCCCTGCGAGGAACACATTGTGTTTGAGCTGTCGTGTGTTTCAAACAGACTGAAAACTATTTGTACCATTGTGCAGTTCCAAAATAGTTTTGTTTAGTGCTCTGGATGTAGTCACACATTTACTGCTTTCACAAGAGGATGTATTTGGCCCAGAGAGGTATAACAGATCTCAAAATCAAATACCAACTAATAGCAACAACATACCAACTACACCTTAAAGTGATAAAATATAATATAAACAATTATTATCTATTTATGTGGTTTTTTTATTCTAAATATGTAGTTTCTGCCAATCACAGCTAGATACATAAAAAGAATACTTTAGAAGCATATACAGGGGTTAGACATACCAAATAAAAAGTGTTTAAAAAGATTAAAGTAATGTTAATAGCTTTTTATCAAAGTTTTTGTAAATATTTTGGTCCTTTAACATGAACGCAGAGTGGTCCGCTTTAGTATACATTAATGAACATTACTATATATTGCTAGAATTTGTCACAAGGCTCATTTTCTTCTACAACTCCAACTCTAGGACAATCCATTAATCAATCAATCAATCAATCTTTATTTATAGGGCGCTTTTCCTGCACAGGGCAACACAAAGCGCCTCACAGTCCACACCACACAATGCACAAATCATCACCATTAAAATACAATTAAAAACACATATGTAATTAAAAAGCATTAAAATCACATAAGTAGTTTAAAAACATAAGAATCACACAAGTAATTAAAAACAATAAAATAGTTAAAAACACAAAAAGTTACAACAATAAATAACAAGGTGTGTTAAAAAGATAAAATTCTTTATTTGTATGCACAGGAAAAAAGAAAAGTCTTTAACATGGATTTGAACATCGACAGAGAGGCAGCCAGTCTCACATCCTCAGGAAGACTGTTCCAGACTTTAGCTGCATAAATCTGAAAAGCAGCCTCCCCCTGTCTAGTCCTGACTCTGGGCACTAACAGGAGTCCCGTCCCTGCGCTCCTCAGAGTCCGGGCTGGTTCATATGGGACTAGCATATCATGGATGTACTTTGGTGCAAGGCCATGGAGAGACTTGTACACCAGGAGAGCTGCTTTAAAGTCTGTCCTCTGGGCCACGGGAAGCCAGTGCAGAGACCTGAGGACCGGACTAATGTGGTCGTACTTCCTGGTTCTAGTCAGGACTCGGGCTGCAGCATTTTGAATATACTGCAGCTGTTTTACTGCATGTTTGGAGATACCTGTGAGCAGGCCATTGCAGTAATCCAGCCTACTGGAAACAAAAGAATGGATAAGAATCTCCAAGTCTGCTTTGGACACAATATTTTTAATTTTGGCAATATTTTTCAGATGATAAAAAGCTGCTGATGTTACCGATCCAATGTGGCTATTGAAGTTTAAGTCAGAGTCCATTATTACTCCCAGATTTCTGACCTTATTTAAAGGCCTTAGGGAGAGAGACTGAAGGTGACAAATGACGGTCTCTCTTTGTTTCTCGGGACCAAAGACAATCATTTCGGTTTTGTCCGCATTTAGCTGGAGAAAATTGCATTGCATCCACTCACTGATCCGCTGGATACAGCGAAGGAGTGAGTCCACCGGTCCATGCTCTCCTGCAGTCAGTGAGACATAGATCTGAGTGTCATCAGCGTAATTGTGGTAGGACACTTTCATACTTTGAATTAACTGACCTAATGGCATAATGTAAATATTGAACAGGAGAGGTCCCAGAATCGACCCCTGTGGCACTCCGCAGGTCAGGGCCATATTATCTGAGACATAGTCTCCAATCTCCACACAATACTTCCTTTCTTCTAGATAGGACCTAAACCAGCTTAGGGCGGTACCAGCAACACCAACCCAGTCCTCCAGTCTCTGCATGAGAATCTCATGGTCAACGGTGTCGAAAGCGGCACTCAGATCTAACATGACTAAAACAGAGACTTTTCCTGCATCAGTGTTAAGCCGAATATCATTTGTTACCTTCACTAGAGCGGTCTCAGTACTGTGGTGTGGTCTAAAGCCAGACTGGAACATGTCAAATGAGTCATTAGATATTAAAAATTTTGTAAGTTGTTGGTAGGCAACTTTTTCAAGAATTTTTCCCATGAAAGGCAGATTTGAGATGGGACGGTAATTTTCAAGTACCGCAGCATCCAAACTGCTCTTTTTTAGGAGGGGCCTGATGACTGCCTTTTTCAGGGCCATTGGAAATGTTCCAGATAAAAAAGACATGTTTACTATTTGTGTCAATGAGGGTAATAGACTACACATAACAGACTTCAGAAATCTAGGAGGTAGTACATCCAGACTGCAGGTAGAGGAACTAAGACCTGTGATTATCTTTTTAACAGTTTCATCATTGACAGGTGCAAATTGAGCTAGCTCACAAAGCCTCACTGGATGTTGCATTGTTACTTGTGTTGTGGAGGTGATGGCATTTCTGATACCCTGAACCTTGTCTCTGAAGAACTGTGCAAACTCATTACACCTGGATTTGGAGTAGTGTTCTAATGGCAACTCAACAGGGGGGTTTGTTAATCTATTGATTGTTGAAAATAGAACACGCAGATTGTTGCTGCAGCCTTCAATAGTTTCAGAAAAGTATAATTCTCTTGTTCTACGTAGTACTCTGTTAAACTCACACAACTTCTCTTTTAAGAGTTTATAATCACCCTGGAGGTTGGACTTTCTCCACTTTCTCTCTGCTCTCCGGCACTCTTGCTTCTGTGCCCTGACCGGGCCTGCTTTTATCCATGGGGCTTTTTGCTTATTTGTGACCATTTTTACCTTCACAGGGGCAATGGCGTCCAGAACATTCAACACACTAGAGGTGACAGAGTTAAACAGTTCATCTACAGTAGAACATGATGTGTTCTCAAAATGGATCATTCCCATAAATAGTTCACCCGTGTTTTCATTTAAGTGTCTACTTCTAACAATTTCATATTTAGCGGGTGGTCTGGTAGCAAAACACATGTTAAAAAATACACAGAAATGATCCGACAGAGCAACATCAACTACATTAACTTTTGAAATATTCACCCCTTTCGTGATAAGCAGGTCCAGGGTGTGTCCTCTGCTATGGGTGGGGCCACTCACATGCTGAGTGAGGCCAAAGGATTCAAGTATGGAACTCAGCTCTTTTGCGTATCTGTCATTAACATTATCCACATGAATATTAAAATCGCCTGTAATAACTAAACCATCAAAATCTGTGCATACAACTGAAAGCAACTCGGTAAAATGATCAATAAAAGTATGACATGACTGCGGTGGCTTGTATAGGACAATGATAAGAATAGAAGAAGATTGCTTTTGTTCAATAAAAATTAATGAAAACTTCCATGACAAAATTATTGTTGATGTAAGCAGTTGTGAGGAACACAATTTATTTTAAGAACTATTTTGGAATTGGTTTAAAAAGCTAAAAAAGAGGGCAGCAAGAATCAACACGGGGCAATCTGAGAGTGGACGAGTTTGTCATTGTACAGATGAAGCCATAAAAATAAAACTCCAAAAAGTATTTTTTGCATTGTTTTTGATTTTTGATTACAGACATCATCTTCATTACCAAAGATTCTTTCTCATCTGTCAATAACTATATCTTTCATGACTATATTCTCTTCTATGTTTATCAAATAAGAATTATCAGGTGAGTTTTGATGGTGTGGCACACTGAAGCTGCATGTCCCTCGTTCTTCCACTGCTAATGAAGTCGACCTCAGTGCCCTGTCTCAGAGATAAAAGGCTCTTATTTCCAAATCGCTGTCTACTGTACCTCCGATATCATTAGATAAAAGGATTTCCTGAATAATATCCAGATAATACCTACACCTACACGAGAACACATCTAACGCAGCAAAGTGTCCCCTAAGGCAGTAAATCACTCCACACAGCGACCGTGGCACAAAAGTGATCCAGGAGAGATATCAACTGTAAAACCTCAAAGGAAATCTCTATTCAGTGCACTATAAAAGAAAGCCTTAGCCTACTGTCGCTTTGGGACCGGTTAGAGAAAGGAGGAGCGGATTAGAAGGGAAAACATGATGTGCCCAGTGTACAGGTGAAGTCCTATGGCAATGTAGGTTTGCTCAGCTGTGCGCTATTTGTTCACAGGCCCCACCCAAAAACCAAAGACTGGGATATCTTTTCATTTTGTACTTTTTTCACCCGTGTCGCTCACTCACTCTCTCTTTCCACAGGCTTGTATTTGCACAGGTGAGAGGACTGCATCAGGCCAATGCGTGTGGGCGGGGGACTTGTAAGGCAGGTTGGCCTGGCTGTGATGGCCACTCCAGGAGCACTGATGCTGGGGCCCAGACTGGCTTTTGTCTGAGGGGAGACAGTTGGCAAATAGACAAACATGTCAAAAACAGCTATGAGGGATGACCCTGATGAAAGACGAACCTTCACAACAACATTAGTTAAATCAGTTCTGTTGAAGCAGAAGTACATGTATGTGCTCATGGTGGAATACATGTTATCGTTTCATGTTAACTACTTCTTTCCACAAACTGTTTGATGAATCAGTTTGATGAATGACAAAGCACTTTAATGATCATGCACTTTTTTTATGCGATTTGATACAATTCAGTCAACAATATAAAATGTATTTATATTTGATTTATTGAAGATAGGATTGTTGAAAAATCTTGAAAGCCTCTTGCTTTTATTTGCATTGTGTGGATCTACTACAAAATAGTACTATATTAATATGTCAAAAAAACGCTTTAGCACATCCTTACCTTTACCTTTTTTCTCTTTTAAAATGTATAATAGTCGACAAATAAACTGTCAATTCACATGGTTTTTCATGAGCAATTCCCCTTAAGACACTCATTTTTTTTTATTTGAATAGAGTTTTGTAATACTGTCCTAATCTTCTATGTAATTCTGTGCACTCAGGACATTTAACAGTTCAAAGGTTTAAAACACATAGTTGTAGTGGAAATTTTATCAACGCCAAGTGATATAAAAGTTGAATTACATAAGGTTTGTAGGAGGGCAGACTTGAGAAAGCGGCTGGGCAGGTGTAGCAGCAGTTCAGTCATCAGGGTGGAGAGGTTTGGCTCAGAGGGCCAAAAGTTCACAGTGAGCAGGTAACTTAAGCCTTCATGTGCCAAAGTCTCACGTGCTTTCCTCATTGTGCTGCTTGGATCGAGTTGCTCCATCTCCCTGTGTTTCCTGGGATTGGGTCACCTTCTTCCTCAGCCACTGTCTCTGGGGACCCAACCCCACCCTGCCAAACCAAAGGTAAACAGGCATAAGCAAACACACACAAAACACGTCCAAACATACTGTACATGACAAATATTAAACAAACACTGGCACTGGAGCCTGCACCTTTAGCATGCAAAACTACATGACTGCTGCAAGTGTAGTCTGTGCATGCTGTTTAAATACAGTTATTACACAGAATCAGAAGACATGCAGAGACTAATAAAAGGATATGTAATAGTCACCGCGGGAGAAACAAGTCATAAATCAGTATAACATTAGCATTACACCCACGTCAGGACGCCCAGGCAGGACACCAGAGGCAATCCTTTCACTCCACACCCTCAGGAGTGCGTCCTGGGCTGATCCGCATGACGGCAGCAGCAGTAACATCACATACCTGCTACTAGTAAAATCAGTATCCGTGCACTAACATGGACAATTAAAAATAAACATTATCCCGAGGTCAAAAGACGAAGAATCGGTAGGCTGTTAATATAATAATAATACTTAATAATATAATAATATTCATTTAAATTCTAAATTAAACTTCAAGGGAAGTATCCAAATGAATTGACTCATTTGTCTAATGTACTTTAAAACTTAGAGAATCATTAGCCCTATCTTATTTCTACAGGGTAAGCTGGGTGCCCCATTGACATTTTACTGTGGCTTGAGTTCTTTTGCACATTTTGTTGTGTTTTTTGTCACTAAACAGCCCACCAGAGAGGTTAGTTGAAATGTTGTTGAGATGTCTAAAGCTGATAAGAACAGAATTGAACTTTTTGGCCCAAACATAGAGACATTATGCATTGTGGATGACTAACGCTGCTCATCACCTACGGCTAAAGCGCAGATTTACTGTTCAGCAGGACAATGACCTACAATGGAATGGTTTAAAACTAAGCATATTCGTGTGTTACAATGGTCCAGTCAGTCCAGACCTAAAAGCAATTGAAAAGCTGTCAAGAGTTGTTTTATAAATATTAATGTAGAAAACTTGAAGTCTCTAGATGTGCAAAGCTTGTCATATAGCAAAGGACTTTGCTGCTGTGTAGTTGAAAAAATTGGGTAACTCAAAGTATAAACCCATATTGCATAAATACTTACACAGCAAGCCCCCCTTTTCATTTTATATTTCATAAAAAAATCATGCATAATTTGATTTCTGTGTGCAGCACGTTGGCATTCCTGCTTCCCAACAAGAAGGTTCTGGATTCGAGTCCTGATTTCCACTACCACTGTGTTTGGATAGAAAAAGACATTCTTGAATTTCAGTGAGATCAATAAGACAATTTTGTTGTGGTCTTTAAGGAATTATTCAAAATAAATCTTTGTTTGTAGTCACAACAGAATAAAATGTACAAAATGTACAGATATTTCAAATATTTTTTATCAAATGTTGATGACCATATCTTTGGGAAAATATTATTTGTAAGTGGATTAAAAAGGTGAGTTGCTCCATCTAAAATATATCATTTACAGCATCTGTCCAGTTTTCCAGACTTGGTGGAGCAGGGATGTCTTAAATTTTTTGACATTTTAAATAATAATATTGGTTAAGAAACATAAACATAAACATCCTCACAAAGTGCTGGTGTTCTGTCATATTTTAAGTTTCTGTCCAGATTTGAGTCATATTACACAACCTTTTGAAATTAAGGTAATAATTAATATCCATATTTTGAAGGGCTGGACTTAATGAACTTCCTGTGGTTACCATTTCCTTTATTTTGGCAAAACACATTCAGTTTGAAAATATTGAAAATTAATTTCAAGAATAACATTTAAAGATAATGGGTGAAAAACACTGATGCTAAAGTATCCAGCGTTTTGTTTCCATGTATGGTTTGTTGGTCATTTCTCTGGCCCTTTATTGTTATAATTGAATTAAAGTATTGTTAGTTGAACTACATAAATAAACATATATTTTAAAAATGAAATAAACTACTGTCTTTATGCTTAACATCATAGCACAAAACACTTCCACAACTTCCAGATTCTTTTTTCAATCATTGGTGACAATATTGTGAAAAAAGCGGATAGCAAAGTTTCCATATGATTTTTAAAAACCAGAAGTCTCTCCAGTGGCCCAGGGCATGGTGGAGGTGTGAATGCTAACTCAGGCCAATCTGTGTGCCACAGCGAAAAAACAATCCATGCTAATCTGCCACCACAGACAGGAGTCCAGTTAGACCAATCAGGACGGGAATCATCTGGAGTGGAGAGGGGAAGAGAGAAGCCTAGATCAGGCCCTGATTGCAGTGTGATTTACAGCTTGAGAACAATGACGCCTGCCTGGGTCAGCAGCAGCCCTGATGGAGGGTCTGACTCTGCATCACACCTGACACATTCAAACATGCATGAGGACACGTGCACACCACAAATCCCACTGTCAGAGCGAGTTAAAAGAGCTCACATGATCAACCAGGCCTGCGCTTACCCTGGGATATAACCATGGCCTGCAGGCGCTTTTAATGTGACCCTTAACATTTCACTAACAACAAAAACCAAAACAACTCAGCAAGAGACTTCCTATCAAGTCACAAAGATAGAATAGAAAAGTAACAGTGCCCCCGAGGAGTTTATGTAAATAAAAGAGGAAAGAACGCAGAGGTTTGCGTGAAAGAAGGCAGGGGGGCAGATGACAAGTGTGCATATGAGAGTGGGGCATCATCAAAGTTTTCTGTCTTTGATGTGATGAGTTGAAAGTTGCCAAAAGGGCACAACACACAGGAGCAGAGGCCCCACGGCTGGTTACTCCGAAAGACATGAAGTCATTTTACCATTGTAAGTTCTTGTAGATTTTATATTGGTCCACGATCAATTGATGCGTGTTTATAACAGAATTTGCTTTAAGTGACAGCGATGGTTTTTCAGTCTCTTAAGTAAAAACTCTTACTGCCCTGTCCTTAGCATTATAAACTGTCACTAGCAGCAACAATGTATTATCAAACACAGACTACCGATTACTAAATAAAGAACTGGCACTTTTCCAAAGAGTCCTCTGCTACTAATAATAAATCTATTATTATCGCGATTGCGATGAACTGAAAGTAGATACATTTTGTATCTTAATTTAAACACAGAGACAACAACAGCACTTCCTTAAATAAAAGCATAATTACTATTAATGGCACAATGATGAAGTTACAGCGACTGTTTGAAATGGATGTGCTGCTACTTGTATGTGCACATAGTCCTGGTTAATTCAGGGTTTGCTTTGCGTGTTTTTAAGTGGCCGCATTCGCCCCGGGACGTATTACACAGATGAAACTGCTCCCAGCTTCTGGAACAGGCAGGTGACTACATGAAAACACACCCGTGGTCCGCCTCCACTGAACACCCAGCATCAGCATATAGAAATAAAGAGGGGGATTATCATATGACTTTTTGAAAATGTATCTGTTTTTGTGTTGTTTGGATTGTTTTATTTTATCATTGAAGTTAAACTAAAGGCATCCACAACTCTCCAGTATTGTTTTTCTATATGACAAGAATATTCCTGTATAATAGCATGTTTAAGATACAGGATGACACAGGTTTGTTTTTTCCTTCCAGAGTAATTATGTTATGACAGGAATGACTAGATTTATTATTATTATATTTGTCAAAGTGATGGCAGAGACTGGAAACCATGGCAACCGCTGTCAAAAACATCTTTTTAACACCCTCTAGCAAATGACTCATAACATCTCACCCAGAAACCAAAGCATCTAGTAGTAGTGTCATGTAGTAGTCGGAGCAGAAGCAAGTTTTCCTCCGACTTCTATATGACAAATGAACACAACCTATGAACCGAGAAGCTTTTTGTTGCGGATAGTTAAGGGAGGCAGTGAGGTTTTAGAGGTTTTAGAGGTTTTAGGGTGCCTAGAGGTTTTTGGGCCTGACTGGATCTTCTATATAGCCCCCGGAGGATTGCCCCATACAACCCCTCACCTCCCCACTGCCTTCTCCTCCCCTGGGCTTTGTGTGCCCTGAGCCCCACTCCTCCCCCTTTTGTCACCCGGGCATTCCGCTTTGGTTAGCACACACAATGGGCGCTCAGTGCTCACCCTCCTGACACTGCATTCTGCCTGTTCACCAGGGGAGGATTGGGCATGGTGGGGTAGGGGTGGGGGGTACTGGGGATGACAGCTACTCAGTCCATGTGATCAAAAATGCCATCAAGTATCAACTCCCCCAACTATATACGTACAGATGGGCAGGAGAAGTGCCAGCCAGTTTGGGTTGGCACACCACAGAACAAAGGGGCATTGGCTAAACAAACGAACAGGTGTCCCTCATGGCTGAGTGGAGCTGCCTCTGCTCAGACTCTGTGCCCGGCTATACGTGTGCTCCCATACTCCTGGAGTTTATATGCACAAATCCTAACAAGAAATGTAGGACCTGCCCTTAAGACACTTGTCTGATAAGTCATTAACTAATGCAAAACTGGCATCACTACAAGGGTTTTGACATGTTTATCAGAGTTTGGAGTCGAGCCTGGACTCCTGCCGTTTAGCACATCGTGAATTACTGTGTAAATAGAGTTAATATGTCACTGCTATGAAAACTTTGATAAAACATTGAGCCAGGTTTCAACACATAATGAAGACGTGATCAGAATACTTTGAAACTGTTGAATGTGTGAGAGAGAATTTCCAAGTTGATGGTTGCTTAACCCGGGGACAGTATATGTGTATGTGGCAGTCGCTGCAAAGTTACTGGGTGGGGGGATTGTTGGAGTTTCAAAGAGCTTGCTTTGTGCCCATATTTCACACCACAGTGACATCTTAAAGCCTAGACAAGCCTGGTTGCTTCGCCTTCTTTTTCACTTTCTGAGAAAAAAAGGAATTGGGATGTGAGGGAGGGGGTCCTGAAATATATGCAAATGGTTCCCCAGAGGGGAGACGAATTTTATGGGTTCAGAATTTAGTTCAGCCAACCTGAATAATCAAATGTGGGAACAAAAAGTTGCACCCCACTATCCCAGCACCAGAACTGGGTACTGCAAGGTTCAACCCCCTCCTCAGACAAGTCCCTCCTGCCAGGTCCTCACATAAGAAGAGCTCACTACATCCAAACTCTTATTAGGAACTCCTTATGGGGCAGCGCTGAGGGAGGAGGAGGAAGAGGGACTGGTCTACCTGATCAGGCAGAACTGCCGGCTCCTGATTACGACACCATTTTCTCAGCAGGGCTTTTCAGCCTCATCCTGCTTCTGTGAATATGGAGCATAGGGCCAGCCAATCCCCACCGTGCTGCTTCTCATCTAATGGCAGAATTAAGACCGTTTAGAGTGATTTCCCCTGCCTTCGTGGCACTCTGAAAGAGCTGATTTTTTTTTTCCTTTGCACCGATTTTCAATGTGGGGGGTCTGGCATGCAATGGATGAGAAAAAAGTTCTACATGACTGAACATAACATTTCAACAGGTGGGGAATTTAGCAGTCTGTAGCACATCGCCCAGAATCGTTTCATATACTGTGTGGGCATTCTTCTCATATTCTAACACTCTTTGAGTCAGGATTTGACCCTTTTAATGCTTATAGATACAGGGTACATTCACTATACAGCCTTCCACAAAGTGTTTGACCATAGTGCAAACTTATGTCACCAATATTTATCATCTTTCAATTATTATTTTTGTGAACAAATTAATTATTTCTTCTCCAGAAGTGACGCATGTCATTAACAGTGTACACACAATATATGAGTAAATGTCTATAATATTTCAAACTCATTAACAGTTTCTACTTTATTGTTTTCTGACAGTATGAACATATGTCCCACAAATACCTGGGATGAGGGCTTTAAGAACTGTTTACATGGAGTATGCTATTTTGCGTTGACCCGAAACCGGTCTGACCACTGGTCCCAGTCTTGCGGGGCGTTGATCAGGACAAGCCTTGTGACTCTATCAAAGCCGTCTTTGCCTTAGCACTCAAACTTTGGTACTTTGATTGTAAATAAAACTGCTATCATATAGTATACTGTATAATAAAAATGTTGGCAAATGTAATCATGCTACAGCTTGTTTAGCTTGTCTGCAGCACAACATGCCCTTTCCACAGCACAGTTAAATGCATGTTTCCTGTTTTTGCTACAAAACAATTCAAAAAGTGTGGCGAGGAACTGTGTCCAAATAACATTTCTAATGCCAGCGTTGTTTTTCCCTGCTCGCCTAATATCCAGTTACTGGGTACATGCCACCATAGATATGGTTCGATCAATGCAAAGCAAACTGGTTTTTCACACCTAAATTGTCGCAACATATTTAAAAATCAAATTCAATTGGGAAAAGTTATCCAGTTTTCACTGTTGCTACTGGTGTTTGAAGAGAAACAGTGGCAATCGTAAAAAGATGATGCATCAGATCACCCTGATTTGTAATGACACAACCCCAAACAGAGAGTAAATCTCCTTAAACTCACTCCTACTCTGTCAAACTCTATTTGGTCAGAGCCATCACAGGGACGGACTGCAAAGCAGCGGCAGCAGCAGCATATCAAGCAGTCACGGCCTGAACCTGTTGCTTTTGTGTTCCCTTGTCTTCTAATGATTCCCCCCACTTGCCCGACTCCAACTTCCAGTAGACAAATCCTTCAGCTTTATTGCCCAGATTCAAGGACTGCAGGTGCACAGGCCACAAAAGGGAGAGCCGGGGGTTGTGGGGGTGTGGCTGGAGGAGGGGATGGGAAAGAGAATGGTCAGCGGGGAGATAAGAGAGGAACACAACCCCCTACCCTGGTGTAACCTCCGCATATATATCCATGGTGAGTAGGAGCCTTACTGTGAGTGCGGCCAGTGGCATGGTGGTCGTGAGACGAGAGTGACTTTTTCTTCAGAGCCAGCGGAGGAGCAGTAATTAATGATGGGAGTATACTGCTGTGCCCACTCAGCCCTGGTTCACATTTTGTCCTTCACCCAGTCCCCCAGACCACAGCTGCCAGTAGATCCACCTGCAGAGCACAAGCAATACATGAGTTTCACCCAAACATATAGAAATAGTACTTTTGGTAATTCTATGTTTCTGGATCATGTTAACCTAAGCAGTAATTATTCAGCAAATTAGGTTCTATTTGTCTCATAAATGTAGTTGTTCTCAAACTTTCCTTCAACTTTTGATGTGAAGTCTGAGCACACACATGACTACTACAGAAAACTATTAAATATTTGGAGTTTAATATAACATAATTTAACATAATAACTATTAAATTCCAAAATTTTGCAACCATGGCCCCAAAGACCCGCTGTTTCTGAATGTACAACTAATACTTTATTGTATGTTTATATATATATATATATATATATATATATATATATATATATATATATATATATTATATTTATATATATATATATATATATATATATATATATATATATATATATATATATATATATATATATATATATATATATATATATATATATATATAACTGTATCTGTATCATATAACTGTATGATTTATATGAAATGTTTTGAATGTTTTGTTGGAATGTTTCTAGCAAAAATATTCAAGCTAAAATCAAACCGTTCATAGTTTCAATTATAAATTAACAGTGATACAGATATAACTGGAATCCAAATAACAAAATACGCTGGTCAGATTATACAAACTGTATTGTTTTTTTGTCATTTCTATAATTTCCTGCTTTCCATAATTTGAGAGTTTTCATCACTCTCAAGGTGAAACCAGGTGAGTCAGTTAGTTACTACAGTGGGTGGAAAAAAGTATTTAGTCAGCCACCAGTTGTGCAAGTTCTCCAACTTAAAAAGATGAGGGAGGCCTGTAATTTTCATTATAGGTATACCTCAACTATGAAAGACAGAATGAGAAAAAAAATCCAGACATCACATTTTACAGATTTTATTTGCAAATTATGGTGGAATAAAAGTATTTGGTCTTTAACAAAAGTTCATCTCAATACTTCATGTTATATACCACTTGTTGGCAATGACAGCACTCAAATGTTTTCTGAAAGTCTTCACTAGGTTTTCACACACTGTTGCTGGTATTTTGGCCCATTCCTCCATGTGGACCAAAGTAACAATGGCCACCATCAGTAACACACTACTACACACTACGTCAGGGACCCAAATCCTGCAGTGGCAGACGTGTCCCCTGCTTAAGCCAGTACATGTCCAGGCCCGTTTGAAGTTTGCTAGAGAGAATTTGGACGATCGTGAAGAGGATTGGGAGAATGTCACATGTTCAGTTGAAACTAATATAGAACTTTTTGGTAAAAACTCAACGTGTTTGGAGGAGATTTGCATCCAAAAGAACACCATACCTACTGTGAAGCATGGGGGTGAAAACATCATGCTTTGGGGTTGTTTTCTGCAAAGGGACCAGGACAAATGAATGAATGAATATATGTGAGATTTTAAATGAAACTTCCTTCCATCAGCAAGATGAAGATGAAACATGACTGGATCTTTCAGCATGACAGAGCTGGAGACTAGCCAGACTTAAGATCTCAACCACATAGAAAATCTTTGGAAGCAGTTGAAAGTCTGTGTTACTCTGCGACAGCCCCAACACATCACTGCTCTAGAGGAGATCTGCATGGAGGAATGGGCCAAAATACCAGCAACAGTGTGTTAAAACCAGTGGGGGAGGGTCCCAGCTCAAAAGTGGCCAAAATGACGTGCGCTGACATGCTTGCAATACCACCCCGAGCCGATGGGGGTGGACCCAGAAGTAGAATTAGCCAATGCTAACATATAGCATTGGCAGACCTCTCAAAAACGTCTTTACAGGATGGACCAAAAGTTGGCTTTTGGCCCAAAGCTCCGTTCCACATGTGTGTCAATGCTGAGAGGGGTGAATTTTTTTGGTCCACTCTAGTTTACTCACTGTGAATTTTTGAAGTCTCTCGTTCAAATGAATGGAGCTGCGCCGGCTGACGCATGCGCAGATGCGTTTTTTCACAATTTTCTTGTGGGCGGGACCACTCGCTGCCATTTTGGATTGCTCCAGTAGAGCATATTTTTTGGCCCATTAGTTAGAACGGAGGAGATAGGCGTGACTCTGTCCATTAATATATACAGTCTATGGTTAAAACCTGGTGAAGACTAACAGAAAACATTTGAGCTCTGTCATTCCCAACAAGTGGTATATAACAAAATATTGGATGAACTTTTGTTATGGACCAAATACTTATATTCCACCATCATTTGCAAATAAATTCTTTAAAAATGTGAATTTCTGGATGTTTCTTTTTCATTCTGTCTCTCATAGTTGAAGTGTACCTATGATGAAAATTACA